CGTGGACATATAGATGATACGATGCTATCGCCTAATGCCAGTTTTGTTTCACATACCTTATGTACGTACAGGATTGTGTCAAATTCAGACAACTCTGTATCAAATTGTGTAAAAAAAATAATGCCAGTCTTATCATGGTAGACTCTTGTTGTTGTCTCGGCGTATCTCTATCGTCAGCTAACTTCTCTTGAGAATTGCGTACTTGGCTCGTTCTCATTCAAATGTGCGAAATGCTGTCGCCACTCTTTAATTTACGACTAGATATGAGCCATCATTGCTTTGCTTTCTTCACTCTCCCACTACACTTAAAAATGCACCACAACACTATGTTTGGCTGATGACTGGGAAGGAATTATAGCCTCGTGTTTGGAGAGATCTGAAACCTTTGTTACCGCAGATTTCTGTAACCTCCGTGACCGCTCAAGTAAGACGGTCGTGAATTTTAGATAGAGCTGCAGATAAGACAAGAAATTGCCGTTTTGATGACATGTTGCAAGTTTTCTGGGTTTCTAAGGGAGGACGAAAGGATTGTTCGCTGTCATTGGTAGCCATCCTTGCTGAACGAAATGTTTTACAGCCATCACTGTAACCTCCGTAATGGTTCTTTGTTACTTTCAATGTTAGTAGTAAACTTCACCTGGTATAATTATATAAGAAAGTTGCCCAGACAGTCTTTAAATGCCTGCATGTACCTATGCTCCCTTGCTCCTAGAAGATGAAGCTTAGAACTATATATCTTTTGGGAGAGCTAAAGTGAGATGTGTAACCTCCGTTACCGGAATACATTTCAATGAGAACGAGCCACTAATATCCTAGTAATCCTGTCAGTTTTTTTTTCCCAGCAGCCCAAGGAGTCTGGGACAGACTAACCAAGACCTGAGGAGTGTCGTTCATCGTTCGGTATTTGCTTTCCATCAAAACAAACCACGTCACGCCGTGGGGTGTACCTTTAAAGGAGACGGCCGTAGGGGAGGTCTGATGTGCGATAATTGGTGATGAGTCCCAAGATGCGTGTGAGATGTAACATAACACATTCTCCCCGCGTTTCGCGCGCTCAGCAGTCCCTGGCGAAACGAGCCATTCACGAGTTTCCCGTACCCAGGATGCATTGCCTTGGGAGGGTAAAATCTTATTTGCATAGTGACATAGTGAGATTTTACCCCCCCCCCGCAATGCATCCTGGGAATGGGAAACTCGTGAATGTACAAGAGTGTTTGACTACAGTTAGCACTACCGTGTCCAAGGACCCGGCGGCTCCAAGTGTACATACCACGGCCGGTTACCGCCGGTTGACGCTGGATGCCACACAACATGAGGGAATCAACTCTTCAGGCTACTGCAGTTTAATATAAGTTGTAGACGGTCAACTGAGGTGAAACCTGACGGTTTTTATGTGGCTAGTAGGCTTTTAAATACTAGATCTAGTAGACTTAGTAACAGCTGTCCCACCGTGATGGTACATGTATATATACTACCAGGCTTTTAAAGCAACGTAAGGCCATGTTGATTTGATTATATGGATGACATCAGACACGCCAAAAACAATACCTCCATTTTTCATGGAGGTAACAAGTATTCTGTATTTAGACTTTCATATTTTCTACATTCGCCCTTTTGAAGTGAAGCTAACTTTAAAGGATGCGCCATAATTTGTCCTCTGTGGTCCGCGGGCATGTGGCCGTTTTCCGCTAATTAATTCTCGGCATAGTTCCAGCCAGAAAGGTCTATGTGAAAGTCATGTGAAAGTCAACTGTTAAAATCACACGTGGGCCGACCCGTAGTCAACTCTAATAGACGACAATGTTCTGAACGCGTGTTCTGCGTACACCCCACACCCTAATATCTGGTACAACAGTGGGGTACCAGTGTTGCGTAATGACAGAGTGCTCGGCTCAGAACCAACAGGTCCTGGGTTCGAATCCTGCCCTTCTTGTTCTGCCATATGCCACCGATCTTGCGCCCTTGAGGAAAGGCACTTTAGATGGAAATGCTCTCTGCGTTGGCATAAATTAAAAATGTAAAAAAAAAAACTTGAGTGTGCACCATGTCACCATGTTTTGTCATAAAATTATTCACTCTGCAGATAGACTTTATTTTATTGGCATTAATACATAAGTAGAATAAATTCCAGAAAACATAATCTCTTGTGTAAGTAGTCTAATCGCTGGACAGATAGGTTAAGAATATGAGATCTAGGTGCAAAGCATGGTATGTCTGTATATACATTCACGTCATCAGTTTTAAATCTCTTTATTTTGAAGGAGACGTATTCAGTACAGCTACACCTATAGATCTAGATGTGCTGACTTTGCCACACACTATGGTTGATACAGGTTCTTTTGCCAACGCACGTACACCTCGAAGTGTTTTTGATGAATTACTGGAGCGAGAGACCTACTTTAATTACACGAAATATGTATGTGTCAACACGACAGACCTTCTTGTCACATAAATTTTTCAACGGACCCCTCCAGATTGCTGTCCTCCTTGTACGCTACTCGGAGACGTCTCCGCCTGTAGAAGACAGATTCCGCCGGCACGACCTACTGACACGCTCCTCAGAAGAAGCCGCAGGTATGCCCCGACTGTTTGTCGAGGAACCCCGGATAGAAAGTTGGCATTTGGGTCTCGTTGACCCCGTGGTGCCTTGAGGGATACAAATCCAGGGTGGCGAGACCCATTTTAAGTGAAAGTATGCCCAACAACTCGTCTCCACATCGCAGCCATGGCTCGTTTTGAGTAAACAGTTGATATAAGGGGAGAAGAGAGAACCGTTCTCCGGACAGTTCGCCGCCGCTACCCGTCCTGGATACAGGTCCACCACTGCGACAGCGAGGCCGTTTATCATATCCCGAGAGACAAGGCAGGGGAAGAAGAGCACAGAGACCATTCTCTATTGCTTTCACCTGGTGTTCAGAAGGTAGCGTAGTCAGCTGATCAGTATCTTGTCGCGCGCGCCGTTAGCATCATTATGGCGCGGTCACATTCGTCGTTGGTCGTCGTACGAGTTTGATGTTGTAAAATTCTCAAGCAGGCTGTGATAAAACCAACTACCGACAAGGATCTAGTACGAAAGCCTTTTCTTCCGTAAGAAGACGGATGAATGTCGTGCGACACACGCACAACTATCCCAAGAATACCCGAGTTCGGGATCGTACGGCGATCGCACGACGTGTGTGACGCAGATGTATTTGTTGTATTCTTCCGTTTTTACGTCTTTATTTCATTTTGAAATATTGCCTACGTAAGTATCTTCTTCGTCAAATTCACAGTTACGCAGTGCCCTTAATGTAATACAGTCAAATTTTGGACTTGTGTATCCAAAAGTTACATTGGTTGCAAATCACCAAACATCGGCAGTCTTACAATAGGAAAAAACTTGAATCTCTTATCTAACTTTTCAGCCAATTTCTTTTTTCCATCCCATATAAATCGAAGGTGTTCAGGATTTCACGTGGTTTTCACGTAGCTATTCTTTCGACGCAACCGCAATATATGTCAATATTTATATCAATGCGTGGACGGCGGCGACCTATCGTCTAAAGATATCGTCTTTATAAACTTATCTTTAGAAATGACCGGCGGATTCTGGTCTGAACTGGTTAGATCAAAGTCTTACTCGAAATCCCAGATCCGATAATGAGAACTTCAACCCTCGCTCCTTGAGGATCAAAATATCCAAGTTTGGACCCGCAGCCTGGCCAGCCTTGGGACCTCAGTCTTAGACTAAAATGTCTAGAATTTTGATCCGCGTCCCTGTCGTATTCATTATACCATCTTCAAAACCTACGGGCAGACAACCGAATTAACAGTTCGAGCCTGGATGTCTGGCTCGACTGCTGCTCTAGCCAAGATGGACATTCTCTGAATCTTGCACGGGTCGACGTACATGTACCTTTTTCTGCATACCTGCACCGGTTCAGGTAACATCGGCAACTACCTGCACCAGACAAATTTTACCTGCACCACTCAGAATTTAGGAAGTACGAATCACATTTAGCTGTTCAGAAACTATTGCCATTATTTTTTGTACCCTTCACAGAAGAGTAAAAACAGTTAATGAAGATGGAACATTCACCTACGTTCCACGTAAACCCAGTACATGGACCAGTTCACGTAGACAACAGAAATATCTGCACAGCTCCATATACCTGCAGTAAGGTGCATATGCACTCAGTATTTCGAGAGCTGCCTTGCATTCGATCAGATCGTCATTTGGAGGTGGCGTTTAGCTTGTGTTCTAGTGTATATAGGGGAGCATCATTGCGTCAACCCCCACCCTGCACCCAGCATAGTCCAGGGCTGACCCGGTGTGTTGGCCAAACATTACATTCTCTTCCGTCACTCCATGACCAATAGCCAAACTCTCATCATCCAAATATATCTGCAGACAGTTTGCATATACGTACTGATATATGGGCAATGCAAGGCGTTTGGATACAGGGTAACGATGGGTATCGCTTGGATTTCTAGAGTCTTCCAACGCCCTATAGATATTCCTTATTTTAAAGAAAGCCAAGCTTCCTTCACTGTTGCAATGCTGTACCTGATAACACCTCATCAAAAGTCTTCACTGCCAGGCTTTAGGATACAAGTTAATGATATATACCTGCTCTAACATCAGTTTATTACGCAAAGTTGTTACTACCAATTAGAGTCGACGGGAAACCACAGTTGAGCATATTGTGTAATTTTAATTATTACGACTAGACTGTGTACGTGTAAAAGCTGTAAGGTCAATGACCGCTCCAAGTTTGCGTCCTTAGGCCCAGCGGTACATGTTGATGGACAGGTCTTAAGTTATCACTCGGGCAGGGATTGTTTATTGCCTGAGTCGAGACATTGCGAACACGCTGGGCATACTTGTCCGCCAGTGGCCCCCCAGACGGGACGATATTTAAGTGGGACGCAGCTTGTAGCCGTAGGTTATTATTGTGTAGAGAAGATAGAGAGGACTGAGAGGGCAGAATTGAGTAGACTGTACAGAGACGAGAAACGTTTTGACCTGCGCCGGTTCTTATATTGTCAGGACAATGTCATCCGCACGACTAGTCATGATCAAAAGAATCAGGTAGGTCGACATAAGAGGATTTGTTTGTTTGTTTGTTTGTTTGTTTGTTTGTTTGTTTGTTTGTTTTATTTATCCAGGGCGTTTTTTCAATGGTTCCTGGGCGTAAAACCCCAAACAAAAGCCATTAACAACAAAATCAACTCAGTCCAAATTACAACAAAAGTGTCAAATAAAGTTACGCAAATTACAAATTGATACAAAATCAACCTAGGGCCCAGCCCTCTACCTCCCTCGCCTTTTCCAGATCCAACCAAAGCTAGGTTCCCATTTTACACCTGGGTGGAGAGAGGAGGTCATGTGAAGTTTACCTAGGGAACAATGTTTTGCTCAGGGTAGTCGAGAATCGCGACCTCTCGATTGCCTACGCAGCGATCGACGCGACCACCTGTGATGTACTGTGATGTGTTTGTGTATGTGATGTAGCTAGCATTGATTCCACAGGGCCCTGAGAATCAAACTAATTCATATTGTGATGTATTGTTTTCTGTGTTAAAAGGCGGATCCAGCATTGGATCGACGGGACCCTGAACATCATACATACTACGATTTTTGGTGTACTGTTGTTTTCTGTATTGAAGGAAGAGTAAGTCTTAGTTCCACGTGCACAGGCTCCTGCAGCTGAGAATCGGATTATATCAAACATTATGATGTGTTGTTGTTTTCTGTGTATTAACAGGTGGAGTGAGTCTTGGTTCCACGGGCCCTGAACATCATACTTATATTGTGATGTGTTGTTGTTTTCTGTGTATTAACAGGTGGAGTGAGTCTTGGTTCCACGGGCCCTGAACATCATACTTATATTGTGATGTGTTGTTGTTTTCTGTATTAACAGGTGGACTGAGTCTTGGTTCCACGGGCCCTGAACATCATACTTATATTGTGATGTGTTGTTGTTTTTTGTATTAACAGGTGGACTGAGTCTTGGTTCCACGGGCCCGTGAGAATTGTCCTGGGGAGAATGCCGCTGCGGCCGAGCTCCAACCTGAAGATGCGCGCGGACGAGACGGAGGTGGAGTGGGTGGAGAGAATACGGACCTGGTACAAGGCGATGTGGAAACGGGAGAAGGAAAACGACGATAGGCGCAGGAGAGGTGGGCAAGGTTTTGTGGGGGTCTGCATGGGGGGCTACCGTTAACGATCTACGCTAAATTCAGACAGGGTAAGGTTTTGTAGGGGTCTGCATGGGGGGCTACCGTTAACGCACTACGCTAAATTCTAAAAGGAGAACGGCGATCGACAGGCGCAAGAGAGGTGGGCAAGGTGTTGTGGGGTCTGCATGGGGGGCTACCGTTAACGATCAACGCTAAATTCAGAAAGAACGATGATAGGCACAGGAGAGGTGGGCAAGCGTAGGGGTCTGCATGGGGGGGGGCACTGTTAAAGATCTATTTTAAACACAGAGAGGAGAACGACGACAGGTGCAGGAGAGGTGGGCTATTTTTTATTGGGGGTTTGCATGGGGCTACTGTCTTCTACGGTAAATTCAGAAAAGAAACATTTAAACTTGGCAAACAGGCTTCGCTTTAGGCTGAATTCCGGGTCCAATGTTACACTGAATGCACCAAGTACACTCTGCGTTAAATTTGAGCGGTCCGGCTACGAATTACGTAAAACCAAAACGGCTGATTACGCCCTACGTAAAGCACGCAAGCTACCGTCATACAATTTTTCTCAATCGAATGTCCCAAATATAACGATATGTGTAAAACATATCAGTCATATTGTATACCAGAATTTTCTTTAATGAAAGAAGCAAATCCAGTTACTTATTAGCATGTCATAGTCCCTGCATTGCAAATAGATTATAGTAAAAGAGGACGTGTATCAACATTAGACATACATGTACCAACAAAGACTTCACAAGTGCCAAGTCCCCATAAAAACCTACATATCATTCGCTTATAGAGTGATTTATTTTAGTCTCCTAAAAGGGGAAGTGCAATTCTGCCTGTATGTTACACAACAACATCGCAGTTGGCTGAAGACCAACGTCCTTCACAGATAATGATCGACATGACAACAATGTCTTCCAACTCCGCGGTCATGAAATGGTCTTTACCAGAAGCATGTGTCTTGGACCTGGGTGTCAACAACAAGTGGGCTACCTGCCAGGGGCTCATAGTCTGGCTGCCAGCCTTTTTATACATGTATATTGTACGGATTATATAAAAATAGCATACTATTTATGTTTAACGAAGGAAAATATATTGTTTTTTACTACGTTTCCTCTTCTTCGTCTCTGACCTGACTGAACCAGACTGTCTCTCTCGGATGTTTCAATTTTATAGCAGGAGGGATTTAGACTCCTATCACCATATATCTGAATGTGTTTGAGTAAGAGTTAACAGAGCAAACCATATGCGAAGGTAAATATTATGCATTTGCTTTGCTTTGCAAATGTTACCTTTCTAGTATTAGTAGTGTATTAGCATTTTTAAGCAATAGCGCAGATATTTAGTATTTCTCAAGAAATTGCTAACATTGTACCTGCTACAATGATTGTGCAATAAAGATTGATTTATTTGTGAACTGAGCAGAGATCTCTTGCCACTTCGCTACCAACTATTAACCAGCAGAGGAGCTCGTAAAACAGTGTCATCAATGTGCACAGTACAGCACTGCAAGCTTACCAATGTTTTGGCATAAATAGCAGTGCCTAACAAACTACTGCTGTTTATCCTTACTCAAAGACAGTCATATATATGGTGACCAGCCCCTTCAAATCTGCCCTGCCGTTGCTACATAATGTAATCCAACCATGAGGGGTGTCTACTACAGCACCAGTTACTATGGTGACAGCCGTCTGGTCCGGGTCATTGACCTTGTTTGTTTGGAGAAGAATAAGACGGAAACAGAGCAAAAAACAATAGTTGTAAGGAAAACATAATGATTTTCCAGAGGACTTAGCCGGCCATAAAGTTACACAAAAGCAAACTTCTAGTGTCGCTAGTAGAGACTACATAATGCTCCTGATGGTGACGTGTGATTTATTGCATGTTTCGCTGAGGTAAGGCCAAGGCATCCACTATCGCGTTGGGAAAATCGAACAATTTGCAAGTCAAGAGAAAGTATCTTATCTTCAAGAGTCAACGTCTCACTATCTTATCTCCAAACGTCTTGCATTTTTCCCAAGTCGATTTTGTCGGATGTGGCGTCGTCTTAAAGTACACCGAGCGCAAGCGCCAAGAGCTATTTAGCTCGAAATTTCTATATGGCAATTTACAAATAGACGGCGAGTTCTCGCCATGGGCTGCATGGATGCGCACACGTTGACTGCCAGATACCGGAAATCGTTGCAATTCGTCTCCCGTATTTGGACGTTCTGATTTAATGGCAGATTACAATGAAGGGACGCTGGAAATGAAACTTGACGTCAAGGAGACAGTTCAATTTCATACCTAATCCGTCATTTCTGCGACATAGCATTTCTGCGATGTGGTTAATTCTAGATTCGCTACCGCTCAGCGATCCATAATGTCAGTTTGATGAATGAAGGCCTTCATTGTACATACCTGTATTTACCCCGATTGGGCCAAGTAAAAAAGAACAGTTTGCAAATACAAATGTACAAGCAAGTATGAGTGCTATCATATACTAAGTGGATTCGGGTTCTTTTCGCTTCTTTGTGATGATGAGTATACGAACAGATTTGTGACAGAAGGTTCAGATCTGTTCGCATACATCAGAGTATGAGATATGAACATAGAATGTACCTGTCAATGACAGAAACCTATCATTTTGCAGAGTTGAAGGCAGTAACACAGAGTATTGGAGACTACTTCAGAAGAGCGAAGAGACTAGGTGAGTATCAGCAATAATCTTCGAACTGAAACTTGAATGATGCCATAGCCATAGCCATACAGATTTCGCTAATTATAACTACACTGTAGTTAACGTTTTCAGATATGGACGTGCCAAATTCACAGGAATAATACAATACTGACAAGGCATGCTTGACCATATCTATTAGGAGACGACTGCATTCAGCGTTGTCAGCAGAATTAATTGTAAGCCCAGCAACGAATGTCGCCATACCCCAAGGAATCGTCTGTTAAACCCCACCCATTGTTTCCCGTCCGCCAGGCGTGTCCTGGGTGCCTATGGCGGCGGAGTTGGGCCTGACCCCGGTAGACGTCGCCGTGATCAAGACTGACTCTGGAGACATACACGAACAGGTCAGGGGCATTAGTAAATAAAGCGGCAAAGGGCAAAGCACTAACAGAGAAAACAGTTTGTATCAGTTTGGAAAACGCAGTGCTCCGCCATAAGACCCAATACTGCGTATGACGGAACTTCCCTTGGTGCTGATTGTCTTTCCGACAACCGTAATTTGATATAAACCTTTCCGTGTGGTACAGTGTACATGTACTTTCGTTACATGATGTGCTTGCTATCCATGGCCAGAGCTGCCGCTTAAACAAGCTTAACGGCAGCAGTTTGTATATTTTGTGTCTTTTGCATCAATGAATCTTCAAAACATTACGTACTTCTGAGGATCTTTCTATACAGTGTGCGGTTCAGTAGCTAGCGACCATGCCTCTGGACTGAGAGGTTGGGAGTTCAATTCCCGGCTGTTGTCACTAAAAGTGTTGCAGTCCTTAGAGTTTATTTATTGTGACTGATGAAACTATTCTCGGAGGTAGTCTGAGGTCACTTTCCACTTACCCGAATCCGTCTGTACCCTCCCCAGATTGAGAGAGTGATCTACCAGTGGCGTTACTACATGGTCATGGACGGCTTCAGCATGAACATCACGGTGGACTCCCTCATCGACTTCCTGGAAGAGTCCTTGGTCTTCTACGACATGCTGGACTACCTGAACAAGACGGCGTTCAAGACGATGGGGAAGACGTGGGAGCCTAAGTACGAGGTGCCGCCGCGCAGACAGTCGCAGGACAACATCAACCTGGCGGCGGTGGGCACGACGTACCGCTCCGGTAGTACGTCCAGCATGGACTCCACCGTCTCCACCGACAGCGACATTGAAGCTGACTAGGGCTGTGTACTTAAAGACGTCCTATACAATTTCAGGGTGGCAAAACTGCATCTGTATAGTAACCCGTAAACCTGTACTGAATTTTGTTTAGGGACACAGCTCTTAAACTGGCCTCCAAAATGTGCACCGATGCGTTCGAGGGTAGAAATATGGCAGAGCAATTTCGTCGCGCCATCAAAAAGCATAGGATAGCCTCTACCAGACTTCGGGGGGCGGCTGAAAGTGAAATAGAATTTGCCAACCAGGGAGAATATGATTTGTCTAAGAAATTAGACGGCAATACATTTACACCTTGAGCCATTTTACTACTCTTTCAGCAACCTAATGAAACTGATTGAGACTACTAAAAGGAGTGTAGTCTCCAACCATTTTAACAATAAATTTATATCCATAATTGTCATCAATAATCATTCATATGCATAAAACTACGGGTAAAAAGTTTTTGTCTAACTGCCGTTGTGTCGCAACTTAACTGTTGTATTAATCATCCATGATGTGGCAGATGTACGTGGGTAACGATAGTACTGAAGTTTATGGCTTATGACGACTCATGTCAGTCCTGCCATGTGTATATACATCAGACAGTGGACTGTTGTTTGATGTACCATAGGCAGGCCCGGTATGAGAGGATGGCTTCTAGAAGTAGCACATGCAATCTTTCATTACCTCTTTATTTTCACATCTGATAACAATGTACGCACAGTAGTCACAATAATTAGGTACCTTTCTGTGTGTTCCTACGTCTTTGCAACGTACCATAGAGCCAAACTCAAGTATTTTGATTCTGTATTTACCATAGGTCAAATACCAATATCTCCAATAATATTTATAAACCATTATGTATCATGTCTGCTTCTTGTCAGATTTGTCTTATTAAGTTATAAGAGTTATAGATATAGATACAAATATATGTACGTGTTCTATTTATTTATTTATTGGTTAAGTTATTCACATTATCATAATTGTATATCATGTAACTTGTTATATCTATGTGATAATCTGTTCATTTTTTAGTTGATGCTTTGGGAGTGTTTATATTTATTTCCAATATCAAGACTAACAAATAACCTAATTGTCCTAGTTCAACAAAGAATAACTATTTAAGAAGTAATGTTTACCACTATTCATAATGATAATAAAGGATATATAAAGCATTATTTGTTTATAAACAGATGTGTTTGCTTCTGAAACTCATTACTATGAATATGACATGTAATATTTGTTCATTTGTCAAAAAATGCCAATGGCACTGCAATGTGTGTGTGTGTGTGTGTGTGTGTGTGTGTGTGTGTGTGTGTGTGTGTGTGTGTGTGTGTGTATGCATGTGCGTGTGTCTGTGTATCTATGCATGTCTACCTGTTTACATCAGGCACACGGTTGGACTTACTTGGAACAATTCCATTTTATTTTCTTTGATTGCCATCTTCTTGAAATCTGCCCTCTCAACTACACAAAAACCTTTGCTGTACAGAATAAAGTTACAGAAGCTGAACAGAACCAAAGCATTTACACATAGTTCCAATGGTTAACCGCTAAGCATAGCCATTTTCTGTGTGCTTCCATAGAGGTAAGATAGGCTGACAACTTGACTTAGTTACTGCCTCCATTGCTAACTCCAGGATGTGTGTGTGAAGTTCTTCTATTGTCTGGTTTGCATTCACAATCTGGAGTTAAGAGACAGACACAATGGAAAGGGGTTAGAGATGGATTGTGCAACAGTTTTGTCTATTTGCCTTTAGCTACCTCTAAACAAAGTGAATGTGCCTTCAAGTACCAGAGTTATAAACCAATAATTGAGGGGTTCAAAAACTAGAACTATTATAGGGTAGGATTTGCTGCCACCAAGTACGGTAGGGGCATCCTCACTAGATGGCTTTTAACATTGTTGACAGATAGATGTGCAAAGGTTAGGCCACACCAATTTAATTTGTTGGTTCTCGGATTTTTTCAGAAAAAATATGAAGCGACAGGGCGAAAAAAAATAAAAATAAAAACAGGTCTAGGCATCCTATTATAGGCTTAAATGCTACAAAATGATCCATGAAGTCAACACAAAAGGCTGGGTTAAAATTTAAACATTGAATTTTGAACTTTTAATCAAACCACTGCAATGATAGATGGGTAAACTGTAACAACTAGAAAGAAAAGGACGTTCCTCAACTGTTGGGGGCAAAACATGAGCATTTTTCAGTTGATTCAGGACCAGAATCAAATTTTTTTTTTTTTGCAAATCAGAAAAAAACAAAGAGGCGAATCCGAGAACCAACAAATTAAATTGGTGTGGCCTTAGGTGTAACAAGTTGCTGGGTGTAATATACCTAGCTGCTGCCGCAATGTGTGTATGCGAACCTGGTGTGTTACGCCAAAGGGCGGTTATACCAGCAATACAGATACAGCAAAATGACTAAAAAAAAGGAATCATATATCATATACAAAAAAAACTACATATCAAATTCAGGTCTCTGCATGTACAAACAATGCATATACATAATAAATACACCACATCTGCTCATACATACCTTCCAGTCCTTCTCCTGTAGGACTTTGAAATTTTCTGCGACTTTTTCCTGGAAGTCGGTCTGTTCGTACCTCTCCCCTCCGTACTCGGACCGTTTGGCCGCCTCCTCAGGGGGGAGGGTCAGGTAGATGACCAGGTCTGGCCGGGGCAGGCCGATGTCCGAATGCTGACATCGCTTCATGTCCAACCCCTGGTACAACAACAATAGCAATAACAACAACAGTTTTGTGAGAAGTGTGAAGGAGGCACATACCTGCACTGGTACAGGTAACATTGAAGACTGGAAACTGGCATCAAATTTTACCTGCACCTGAGTGCACCACTTAGAACTATGGAAGTATGGATCGTACTAAAAACTGTTCAGAAACCTTTGCTATTACATGTATTTCTTTTAAACTTCATTGGTGGTACATGTAACAATCAATGCAGCAAATATAAATACAAATTATGATGAATCCCTACCTTTGCTGCAGTAAATGCCACTCCTGAGTATGCATATCTGTCAACTATGAGAGAGGTGCCCTCTGATAGAAGCTTCTCCATTCGAGGTCTGAAACACAGGAAATACAATAGATTTAGACACAGGACAACTCATCTGGATTCTAAGTCAACTATGGTGAAATTTCATAGTGAAAATTGACTTCAAGAGTTCAATGGGTCTTTAAGTTTAAAGTACATGTATAAACAAGCGTAGTAATAAAATGCAAGATAAACTACATGTATGCAGCGTGAACTCTGACAGCAAAATTGTGACCATTAAAGCACTGTGAATATTTTCAGATTTCCAGTACTTACACAGCTTCCCATCTGTTAGCAGAGAAAAGCAGATGGATGGCGAAGTCATGCAGCTCACATTTGTTCCCCAGGTAGTCGTTGATGACACTTCCTATGGCTGTGGTACGGTCTGAACACATAGAACAATCAGATAATTAGGGAAACTCTTAAAAGAGAATTGTGTCAATGACTAGTATTAAAATAAATGGATAGTAATACATACAGATATATAAGTGACAAAGGAGTTTAAATAACCGTACTACTTAATGCAAACTCCATTTTTTTTAGTACATTCCAATACATACATACTTTATATACATATAAACACACTGCATAAGATACATACAGTACAGATGTACAGCTACTAGTATATGATTACCTGGGAACCTGATAAGCTCTGCTTTCTTCCCATGTTTCTTCAGTGCCTCGACAAGCTTCATACACTGAGTAGTCTTCCCGCTGTGGTCCACACCTTCCAACACTATCAGGGCACCCCGTGCAGATGCCATGCTGTATGATCTGACTGGATAGCTACATAAATTATATTATATACATAAATTATAAAGCATATAAATGCAGTGCTTCAAATACTGGTTGCATAGTAAGGAAACTTAATTTTGTGTTTCCTATTATGACCCTGAAAAAATAGGATTGTTAGGAATTCACATTTTTAAATATTGTTTTAAGTTTTTCACATGTGGTAACTGAACAAAATATGCAAAGCCCCCCTCCCCAAAATAACTTTAGCTAGTTCCTATAACCATGCAAATATAACTTCCGCAATAGACGATCAACGAAAGATGTCACAAGAAAATCTTATGTTACAGACTTCATATAGGCCGGCACTTACATTTCCTATTGTTGTTTACCGAAGTTAAACTCGGGCACGCACCTCTGTGTACAGGGTCGTCTTTAATTTTGGCGGGGAGCAGCTTTGAGAATTTGGCGGGAAAGCAAAGGTTAAAGGGCAATGAAATTTGCATATCTCAGATTCAAAAAGCCAGGCCTGCACATGTCCTCGTTTCTATTGTCTGAACTGATAAACGATTTACCTGTATGCAAACGTCAAAAATCTGCGGACAGGCTTCCAAATCTGCGGACGACCCATCCCGAAACTTGTGGAAAGTGACAAGAAAAGAGTCCAGTCTTTTCCGATGAAGCGATGAAGATAAACATCACTTTGGTCGCTTTCCTAGTGCCTATTTTAAATAATTTACAGCTCAACAGCACAATTCTCTACTATTCTCTTCTACAAGAACTTGTTGGTACATTTAGATCCCGATAAATATGTGATAAAAGAGTGTTTTTCATCGCGAAACAAAAAATTTCTTTTCATCACCGAGACGCCATGTTGTTTTGATCACATGATCTTTGGACTAATTCATTAAAATATAAAGGGAAACGTTTTGCCAAGCAACATCATGTTTGTCTATTTTCTTCATAACTATTTGTACTAAACACATTTTTAAAGCTTTATCATTTATATATATTAGTTTAATCGAAGAGTGGAGCTTCTTGGTTTCATACAGTGATATTTTCTTACTACTGAAGTTCAATTCAAAACCCGTCGAAGAATAGAGTCGTCCAGAAAGGTTCAAAGGTGAAACGTCTTACGAAACGTCAAGTCGAAGTTTGCTATGGAGACATCCTGACGTCTGGCGTGAGATAGAGAGATAACAACCAGTCAAGAACAACAGGTGTGCTTTTGATGTCTTCTAACGCCTTTTATTATCTGTTCACTGTTTTGAAAAAGGCCGTTGTTATGCTATCAGACATAACGGTACACACTTATACCATGGAGGTAGAAAATAATTTTGGAGGAAGAAAATAATTTCTACCCATGCTAATACTGTATGTGACCAGGCCAGACCTAAGCTAAAGTGAGGTCATGTTGTTTTATCTCATTCCTAGATTGGGTGTTGGTCAAAAATCAATATTGGTAGTTGTATGTTTTTGTTTTCAAGTAATACGAGTACATATTTTTATATATATTTTACATACACTAGAATTTATAGCATAGCATTATTCAAGTGATAACACAAAATGTATTTATCACAAAATTTATACCCTTTGTTTTCTGGTTTCAGAAAAAGAAATCTGTAGAAAATTAAAGACGTGAGCTGTTTTGATCTCACTCAGGGCTGTTCGACAAAAATTGTTTGTAAAACATAATCCTCAGGTAAGTTATACTTATAGGGTTAACATCTCAGTGCTACTCATTAACTCATTATGCATTTATAAATGAATAAGAAGGATAAGCATCATATTTGCAAAAAAAATAAATAAACTCTTTATATAGTTCACTATTGACGGTGATGACTGATCAATAGCAGAATTACCTCAGTATGACGTTTCCCAACTCTAAAAATCAATATTTAATGATCTGACTGTGAGTGTGAGAGAAGAAAATTTGCCATATTGTCCAGGTAGGAAATATTCATAATCTTCATTGCAACTTTACTATATACAGGAGCTTTTCTAAAAAAAAATTGAGTTTGGTGGAGATGCAAGACTGGAGTAACAAAGTGGCAGATAAATCAGAAGGGTGTGTACTGTAAATTCATTTATTTCATGGTAGAATTAGGGAAAGGAATGTTTTGTAGTTAGAAGCAGGAAGAGTTAGTAGTTGAAACTATAGTACAGTAGTAATTCAGAGATGGGGTTTTCTGCGCGTGAAAAAATTGTGCGTGAATTTGGTATTGCATATTTTCTAACATATTTTGGGGACTTTGGGGTATTTTTCACTTGCAAATTTTTCACATGCAGGCAACCTGTTCTCGTAATTCATTTTAAACCCATATTTGCTGCATACTAAACTCTCTTTTTAATTACTATGCTGGTGAATCATTGGAGAAATGCAAAGAAACAGAAAACACTGTAAGTTGTGCGACTGTTTACGGTGTTTAGTTATTGACATGTGGTAAATTTACATTATCCCCTACGTATGCTGCCAGAGTTGACACAAGATAGTACTTCCGATCATTGACGTCGACTGTTGTGTTATTATGATTTGGCACTCATTGTGGGTGGGTACTCTAGGTGTTCGGTTGGGTATGCAATGTGTTTGTGGGTGAGTGTCATTACATGTTTGTGGGTAGGTGGGTTGGTTTGTAGGTGGTGGGTCGACATACTAGTAGGTATGTGTACTTATGGGTGGGTGTGATGTGTGTTTGTGGACATATTTGGTATGTGGGTATAGTTGTCAGCAACATGAAATACAACTTTGACTATTGGCACCTTAAAAGGCTTGTGCCTTTCTATGGTACTGCAGCAGAACTTTTGGGTTTTGTATCTCATGTTCTGGACATACCGTACAATTATGGTCATAGTTTTTCTGACTGTAGATATAATGTTATGGTGCTAAGAAAAGATCATGCTCCAGCACTTTGCTAATTGACTTCCTTTCAATTATTATAGGTACTCCCCAAATAGGCACTCAGCAGATAAAAAGATGATAAACTTAGTACTAGTGTAAGGCTTGTTAATTATTTAGCAGCTAAATGGAGGGTTTGACGCATGCCAGTAGAATTGACTGCCAACAAATTAAGTTAACCCTCTGACCTCCGGAGGTGTTAGCACTTATATTAATGGAGCAAATGTCCCTGAACTGACCTAACATCTGTTTGGAGTAGCTTCAGGGTCAAAGTCTAGTAGTGAAGTCATTACTATAGAGCAGAAGTAGAAAGAATTAGGTGATTATGACCATGGAGTTAAAATACAGATTTTACCTGTACCTAATCTGCAATGATCCATGTACATAGCTGGGTTTACATACATACAGGTCCATGCAGGATTCTATTTGTAAATTAACTGGTACCACCTACATTTTGAATGAAGTTAGAAATGGTTTCTGAACAGTTTTTAGTGTGATCGATATTTCCTAAAATCTGAATGGTGCAGGTAAAATTTATCTGGTGCAAGTAATTTTCAATGTTACTTGCACCAGTACAGGTATGCAGAAAGAAGTATGTACATTTCGAGCCATGTAATGTATGTGTTATAATTAATTGTGAAGGTGATGAAATAGATATTGATTGCCCATGACTAGACTTGATTTCCCAGGGTGCTAATTTACATAATGCTGTTATTTCTATCTCACCCTTTTTGCCCACACAGGGTAGGGAACATGAGGTGAGTTTAGATCTGTTCTGCACTTTTTCTTCTTGGATAAGATGCATGTTCATTTTGTTGGTAAAATAGAATGGATCATACTAGCCTTGTTGTCGGATGAAAGTTAACAAGGCTATCTGGGCTATTTTATGATGCATGACATTTAATACATGTTCATCATGTAGGACAAGACAATGCATGTGTCTGTTTAGTAAATGCATGTATGGCCACTTAAATCTTCAAGATGAAGTTTTTACATGTTGGGATACCATTGCTCGAATTGCCACCTACCTGTGCAGGTAAATCTGGGACTGTGCAGTGTGCAGGTTTTTCTTTGGTCTACCTGCACTTTACCTGTACATATGGTATTACATTTTTTTAAATGCAAATATAAGGTTATTTGGATTTTGATTTGCTGCATTGACTTTTACCACCTATGAAGCCAAAAAGAAAACATGGCCAATGGTTTCTTTTTAGTATGATCCCTCCAAAATCTGAGTGGTTCAAGTAACATTTGTCTGGTGCAGGTAATTTTCAATGTTACCTGCACCAATGCAGCTATGCTAAAAAAGTATTTTGAGCCCTTCAGTCTAGATTCAAGATGAATTTCCTGGCTAAACAATAGATCTGAAACTGATGATAACTCATTTAACTGCCACACTACAGGAACTCTGCGGGGAGAGACAGTAAGCCCAGGATGGGTTCCCATCCCTGCTGTGTGCTGCCTATCGTGGTGGGCGTCGGCACAATCATCATGTTCTTTGTATGGTAAGTATTGCAACAGTGTTTATTTTTATTTTATTCACATGAATTTTTGAGCATTGGATAGGAAGCACTTGTTGTGCTTATGTGAATCCGCTGCTCATAAAACATAATACAAATGTAAACATAAAGATGACATGAAGTATAACATAAACATAAAATGAAAGTGGCTGGCGCACCAATACCTATAGCATAATATTAATGAGATTGGTCAAATCTTCCAGAGTGGTGGATATAGTATTAGTTGAACACAATATCAAAGATACGGCAGTTGGTAGGGTATGGGAGGGAGGGGCTACCCGTAAGAAGTAAAGTAACAGTGTTAGAACAGAAACAAGTAGAAAACAAGTAGAAAAAAGTAGTTATCTCTGGAGTAGTAATATCTTTGGATATCTTTTACAGTATTCCCAGTATTTTGATTAGGTAAAGTTACAACTCGTCATAATTCCTTTTTCCTTTTTTTTTACAGCTATGTCATTGCAGTCAACAACAATCACACTGTAAGAAACTTCCCTTTTATAAGGTAAGTCAGCAGGACTGTATCTAATAGTCTTCCAATCCTTTTAAATTATTGCTTAAGTACCCGTATGCATCCTTCACCAATATATTAGTGGTACCTTTATAAGAAGGGGGATCCACTTTTGTGGAAATGGGCATGGTGGTCCTGTATCTTTTGATTACATCTGACATCATGATGTTTTACATCATTATAATAAGGTTTTGCATAGATAATCATCTTGCAACAAGGTACTCGGAGAAAAAAATTAAGCTATACATAACTCTAAATAGTATCTTTAAGAGACCTCCAACAGTCACCCCTTTATGCCACCCCCAACTACTTAGAACCCAAACTAACATGTTTGAGTGACAAATGATGCTGTTTTCAGGTTCAGCCACAACACTCAAAGATCATGATTCAGTGATATTTTTTTCCTGTCCCACAGTGACACAGGAGTGTACCCTCCGGAGAGTGGAATCTTCACCATGGCTCTCAACCTGTCTGCATTTGGAGGTACAAACATGTTCTCGTATTTGCACATGTTTACATGTATGTACTAGAGTTACAAAATGTAGGTCCCACAGAAACCAGTCTAAAGACTGATGGGAGTACTCACCTGTTCCCAACACGAATAAATAGATCTCTATGCTTGGTTTGCATTTTTCTACCTCCATGGTTTGGGGAGTTCCAATTTTTGAAATTCAGTTATATTGCATTTGATCATGACCTGGCAATGCTTACACGTTACAATAGTTACTGCATTTAAGTCTGCAGTTTCCTACCTGACAAAAGAATGTTTTGCTACCTCAGTGGTAGAGATACTGGTAATGTTCTATATGTACTTCAAAAGAGCCAAAAAGTAGCCAAAGCCAGTCACCAGCCAGCCACAATGACCTGCACTGTATTCCAGGATGATCCTCTGACCCCGTGCCTGAGCCCTCAACTTAATGAGGTTTGACACTATGACCCTGTTCATACCAGACTTATATTTAGCGGTTTCAACCGGTTTTTCAAAAACCGGTTTTTATTTAACCTGGTGTGAACGCAAATTAACCGGTTTTTTAGGGGTTTAAATCCGATTTTCAAAAACCACCTCGGGAGGTGGTTTTGAGGGGTTTTCCACCGAAAAACCTGGTCTGAACGCTAAGGGTTTATTGAACCGGTTTTTGCGTCATAATTCTGGGGTCACGGGGTCAGCATCCTGGCCGTGTGCGACCTCCAAGCTTTTTTGATCGTGCTGTTTAGACCGTTTCCACTGTTTTTCCACGGTTTCTCTTCATTTTTACGATGGAATCAGCCAACGCAACCTGGTCGGTGGACGAGACGCTCCCGATACGTATTTTTGGAGAGCAGGAGTTGATCGCCAAATTCGAAAAAGCTGGGGGGAGGGCTCTATTGAGGTCTACCGAAACAAAAATGTTGGAGGAGCCTGGTAATGGCCGATTAACCGGATATTCGCTGGACAGGGTTTTTGAAAAACCGGTTTTGTAAGTCTGGTGTGAACGCGACGGGTTTTTGCCGGGTTAATTATTTAGCGGTTTCAACCGGTTTATATAAGTCTGGTATGAACAGGGTCTATGACAAAGAAGAAGAAGAAAGAGCAGACATATCCATGTAATATGTATGCTACACATTGTAGAAAGTGGCATGTCAACTTGGTAGACCATTTGTCACATCAAACAATCACTGCAGTACCTAAATCTATACCTAGCCTACAAACCTCATGCTAGACACGTTCTTGTTGTTTTCCCTCATTGAATTCTACTATTAAGGGGGAGATTTTATCATGCTCTCCAATGTTTCTGTCCCTCCCAGGTCTTGTGCTGATGTACCTGAGGTATTGTTACATCTCACAATGTGACGGTCCGGCCAAACTTAACAAGTTCACTTTGGGCTGTGGTGTTCTTGTCTGCCTCGGTCTGATGATGGTCGGTGCCTTTCAGGTATGGCTTTAGTCCTCACTGTTAATTGGACACAAATTTTACATGACATATTTTAACCATTGCAAGAAAATTTAATGCTATATGAGTGCAAGACAATATTTTCTTGATAGTGTTTTAAGTTCTGTATACAAAACCGTTAATGTGCAACATGTACAGTTGTACATGTATTTGCCCTTGTGTTCCTTTCAAGAATTTGTAAATTGATTGCAATTTAGTTACATTTTCACTGCGAAAGTTAAATGAATTCATCTTGAGTCTTGAGTATTTTATCTATGTCACAACTACTCTAGAAAACATGGCACATTCTATCGAACTTGTAGAAGCCCATGTGATAACTATCTGAATTTTTTGTAACTGCTCAGTCCAAAATCTTGTTCATGTATCAGACTATTGTACAACTTGTCCTCCTGTGTATCTTCCAGTGGGCGACCATGTTGTATCCCCACATGGTGGGTGCTGTGATGGCCTTTGCCCTGGGTATTGTGTACATCTGGCTGGACACCATCATCAGCTACAAGCTCCGGCCACTGTCCACCGGCATATGGGCCTTCAGGATACGGCTGTTGGTGTCTACCCTCGCTACAGTGAGCGGCGGTGTCAGTATCCTTTAAACGTTGGTACCTTTACAGTTAGTAGAACTTTTATTCATCAATCAGTGACTGTTTTGAAAGGTAAAACACGTACCTAATTTTCGATGTCGACTGTACATCCTGTTCACTGTCACTGATTGATGAATGTTGCACTATTAAACTGTTAATCTTACGTGACTGATGAACCTCTTCAATGAAGGTTATGTTTTCAGTAGTGTGTGTGGTTTGATAGCATACATCAAGTTACCTGTAGCCAGGATTTTGCTAAGGGGGGTTCTTCTTACTATCTGAGGGACCAGCGAGTGCTGTTGGTGCAAGCTTCTTAGGGAAGAAAATTTTGAAAATTGAACCTTAAGCTGCTGGCATTTTGTGTGTTTTTGAGGGGATTTCAAGAAAAAGTGAGAGACATTCACACAACTGAGCGTGTGTGTGGGGGGGTGGGGGGATCTTCAGAGTTTTAAAAATGGTGCCAGTGGCAAACAATAATAAAAAAAAGCACCCTGTTAGACACAAATGTCACCACAAGAGCCACAAAGTCAACATACATGTACCAGGCTGTTTAATGTTTCAAACAATGAATTTTCTTAGTACATCAAACACAAAACCCCCACAAAATTTACTTTGTGAGGCCTTAAGGCAAGACAACTTTGTTCCTTAACGAGTATGTACCAGTGTTTGTGTTTGGTGGGATTATCTTCTCCACAGATAACTACCTGTACGAGGTTCGTCTGGCTGCGGTGGGCGGTGAGTGGGCCCTGGGGATCGGACTTCTCCTCTACATCATCACGCTGTGTGCCGAGATCAGGACAGTCAAGAGGATCGCCGTCATTATGGACATCTCGGGAAGGTTCGATGTGTCCAACTCCCACGAGTTAAGGGCTTCCAGGGTTTTCGCTAACCGTGATTTAATCCCTGAGTAAAGTTACTGCAGTAGCAAAGATCCTCTATACCTCATTTCTGGACCACAGAGTTTTAGAGTTTTCTCCTATCTTTCCTTTCTTTTCAATTCTCAACAATATTATTAGACCTCTAGTATTAAAGAACAAAATCTAGGGTACCAAATCTAGACTTAAGAATTTAAATTTGTTTTTTGTGTGCCAAAGAAATTTTTCCAAGAACTGGATAAGACAATGTCATATTGTCATAAGTTTATACATGTACCTGTTTTTTTTAATTTCTGTATCTTCAAAAAGACATACAGGATCACCAATGGCTGCCAAAAATCTTAAGGTTGTACATCCATTTCATTAGTTCACTTATATCCTACTTTTTAGGAAATACCATGGCTGGGTCTGAATGGCAGTGTACTTTACTAGTATGGTGAAAGAGCACAATATTGCTGGATCAAAGACTTTTATGTTGATGTCAGCTCTGTATATTTGTGTTTCAGTACCTTGTTCTTGTGACTGGAAAGAAATGGATCAGCGAAAAGTATGGGGAGTCACTCTTTTTGTGGATAGTTGTGTGATAGCTCAGCTTTTTTATTTTTTCAAATTCTCCATGGTCTTGTCTTCCATTTATTTTCTAGCAACAATTGCAATGTATGAAACCTGCTGCTATTCATGACATTGGGCCACTTATAATAAGTGTATTGATGACAAGAACATGTGTGCTGTGAATCTTGTATGTGGAAAAAAATTATGGTGCTGTTTCTAAAATGTTGCTCAAAAAATTTGCTATTAAACTATCAATAAATAGTGGAAATTTAAGTACAAGTTGATAACATGTTTATCAAACAATTGCCAATTATTCAAAATAACGATTACATTTTACTATTTAGTGTCATAACCAAGATGTGATATTTTTGTGTGCCCTTAAGTTTAAGTTTAATCCTTTTAATTTGCTTCCTGCTGCTGTTTGAGATTGTTGTTAATTGTTACTTGAATGAGATTGATAGAAATGTGTGGAAATGTCGAAGTACACAAGTACATGCATTATGTTATCATTGCAAAGCCAAAGTACATGTACTTTTATAGTATCTTTGGCACCTATGGTATGTATGGCAGTACATATTGTTGTCTATAATTCTTCCTGGCATCAACAGACAAAGCCGTCAGTGAAGTCAGGATGAAGAAGCTGTATTTATACCAATACTCAGCTCGTACAATACATTACATGTATTATGTTCTGTATATACATGTACATTGAAATTGTGACAATGTATTCTATACTACAAGTACATGTAGTATGGTGTCTGTCTGTTAAGAGAGAATGTGAATTTTCTATTGTGGTGTCATAATTGTCAAATTTATATGAACTGAATGTTGCAGAACAGATCAACTATGATATAAAATCAAAATTAAAAAAAAAAGAGAAGAAAATTGCCAACACATCTTCAGTCCTATTCTGGCTTTGACTCTTCAATATTAGAGCCTGTTTTCAAGTACATGCACATTTAGACATATGCACATGATATATGATACAGTTTTATTCAGTTACCTACGATATCTATCCTTTCGTATAATGAATGGCATGTAAGTTTCTGTACTCCATACAGAACTCAAGTTTTTAATTCTGTGCTCCAAAAATAACAAGCACTCCTTTTATGTCCTTCACAGTTCAATAATTTGACAAGTTGACAAGCTGGGTGCTCCTTAGATTTGGAAAGTGAACTTCCAAATTTGACCACTTCTGTGTTGTACTTTAATCCATCTCTGCAAAGTGCACAGTTCTAGAAGAAGCTCCAGCCAATGAGGACGCTCCTTTCATTGGCACTGCGGCTGCCATTGGCTCGTCGGTTTCCTGGTCACGACACTTGGAGTTGAGGAGTTCCCTGCGGATCTCTGGCGTGATCTGTTCGTGCGTCTGGGCACGGAGCAGGTCGATGATGGCTTCCTTCTGCTCGCTGGCCAGGTCCTCCTTGTAGCGCTGTACGAAGGTCAGCAGGCACTGGTGCCACAGGACAGGGAGCTGTCTCCTGTCACTCACAAACCTGAGGGGCAACAAAAGTGATGAAATCATAATCAATAGATTATCATATGTGGAATTGCTATTGCAAATTTTATATTATTAATGCCTATAGTTGCAATCAATCATTTGAGCAAGAAGACTCTTTACACAACCAAGTCTTTTAATCAGCTGATGTTTCGGTGACCGTCTGATACCTTTCCTCAGGGCAAGGTACATTCATTACAAAGCTTTGGTGTCTTTAATTCCATTAACATCTGAAAAGGCTACTTAAAAAGTAGTGCATAAAGACTCACCTTAGGAAGTGAAAGACCATAGCATCCACCACTCTGAACGGCAGAGCGTACTTCTTGTCCAGTAGGACCCTCAGGAAGATGCTATTCGCGCCGTTGTAGTCCATCTCCGCGATTTTCAACATGGCGGCACTGGAGTGGAGGACGGGGATGGAGGTCTTGGCGAGCACGCTGCTCACGATGATGGCTTCTCGTAGCGTACATGTACCACTCTGGGAGAATGGTGGAAATGTCAGTCTACTGTTCTCCTTGTAATAAAGAGTTTCAGTCCTTCCCCAGCCTTCACAAAACAAGGCGGCAACAGGCAAAATTCACCGCCTACTAAAATTTTTGCGCTGCCTACTTTTGTGTAAATTTAAGAAAAAATTGTAGTCTCCATTACAAACTCCTTCTTGGTTCGCCTGCTACTTTCTTATTTCAGCCACCTACTCTCATGGTGTGTGTTCAACTCCCATACTCTTAAGTGCATGTGCCTTTTGTGAAGTCTCTCAGAACTGACTCGGCCGGAATCGAACCACCTATCTCCTTCATGCTACTGTAACAAGAAAAAGATGAAGAAGCTACTGTACCTTGAAGGAAACTTCACTTACCTCACACAAAGGCAGCAGAATTCCCTTCATGAAAGCTGCTGGCTTAAACAAAGCCTTTTTCAGTGCCTGAAACAAGATGAAGTTTGTCTTTTTAGCATCATGATACATGTATCACTCACACTTTACAGAAGAAAACAAACTTTTTCACATCATGGATGTGGATCAAAGTCTTACAGATACATTTAGTTCTGTACTAGTAATAGGATGGCAGTCTGCAAACAAAGAAAGCCTACTTTTTGTACCAAAAGAAATCCTCTAAGACTTCATTTTACTCATACAGTTTGATACTTACCATGTACAGGTGAAAGTTCAATCTCTTAAACTCTGTGATGTCATCACGGACTCTTGGAAGAAGGACGAGGTTGAAAAACCTGGGAAAACAGGAAAGTCCAAACCTTAGAAAATCATATCATGTGAGTGACCAATGAGGAAATAAGAGAAATGAGGAACATACATGTAACTTGCATATTCCGGGCGAATATGTGAGTTGGGTTTACCTCTGTGCCATCTTGGCATTAAGGTTGGAAGTGAAGATACGTGTGGCTTGGTACATGGCTGCAGCAGTCCAAGTTTCAGGCTCAGTGATGTACAGAATCTGAGATGCATGGAAAACAACTTCCATGTAATTCACAAATAAGGCTGTGTACTACTGGAAAAGGTACAGAGATTGAGATATCTGCACCTAAACAAGCTTGGCCTATTACATGTATACATGTATTTGTAAGTTTCACATGTAGCCAACTGTCTTTTTTTACTATTTTAGTGCTAAGTTGTAATTACTGATCATGAGATGGGATTTATCTTTTAGTGTAATGACCCAATATTCTGGTAAGGTTCTACCATTCCCTTAGGGGGAACTGCAACAGACCAGAATATTGGGTCATTACATTAACTTATTCTCATTCACTTTTGCTTATTCAGGTACAGGAAATTCAGCTCCAGACTTGTACCAAAATAATTTTACAGGTACATCTACAGGAATAATCTATTAGTAATGATAAACAATCCTACACCCAAACCTTCATCTCAAATGATACCATATCCTGTAATAATTCTCACCTGTTCCCAGTTGGCCAGTGCAGGGATGATCTTGAAGGCCTTGGGGAGTTTCCCGCTCCGATAGCGACACAGAATCTGCCGAACGTCCTTGTACACCCTGACTACCCTCTCGTCAAGGTCAGGCATAGGGAGGCTGCCATCTTTGATAACAAGGACACATAAAATTAGCTTTCTTCAAACCTTCCAAAGAAATCTCAAAGAAAGAGACCAGGACAACGATCTGTATCTGTATAGCCGGTATAACCACCATCAGCATAACACACCAGCTTTTCAGGCACGAGGGGCGGCGGCAGCTAGCTATATTACACCGAAGCACTCAATCTTTGCACATTTAACTGCAGGAGTTGTTTAAAGCTTTCTAGTGATGTCCCCAAACTGTGCTTGGTGGCAAACGATAGTTCTTGGACACCTCAATGCTTGATAAGTCTGATATTTGAAGGCATCACTGTTTCTTGTTTTTTTCTGAGCTGAGTTAAACTTTCAGTGAAAGGAAATCATGAGGAGTTGGTGTGGTGACCTTACCTGACCTCTGGCTGGCCAGCTCTGTTTTCCTCTCCGTGATCTTCTCCATGATGATGTCGGCGAGCGTTCGGCGTACGGGCGGGTTAGCAGACATGAACAGTTCCAACGCCTTCTCATCATCTTCATCAACCTCCTACAGGCACACAAGTCAACAATATATTACTATCATATATTACATGTAACATTATCATCATCATCATATAATGAGAAGTTTAAGTCAAATTCTTGCCCGAGAATTTTTTGTAAATAACTTGAATTTGTTTAAATGAACAATTTAACATATGACTAGTTTAGAATTAGATGCTGGCTCTAACTTACTGGGTTTGACTTTTTTTGCAGCAGTGGAAGACAAACGATTCTACTTTTCTGTAATGAGTGAGTTCTGTGATGTTATTGTTAAGTGGAGAATAGTGTAATTAGGACAGAATTTGGTGGTTTTCCAAAGACTTCAAATTCAATGAATTCAAAAGACATAATGAAAAGATGTAACGTTACATCATGGATGATGATACTCACCACCTCCTGATAGTCGTACTGCTCATCCTCGGTCCTCTCCTCTTCATCCTCCTCCTCCTCCTCAGAGTCATCCTCGGCCGTGGACGGTCCCCCGAGTGTCACCGTCTTCTCGGCGGCAGACTTCCTCCCCTTCCTCACCACTCCATGCTCCTCCTCCAACTCCTCCTGCTGTCTCCTGGCCTGCTGGAGAATCTTCCTGGACAGGTTCTTGTCTACAAACTGGTGGCAGAAGAGAGAACTCATTCATGGAGGCCCGCATGCCCTTTTCCGTAGAGCGTAATCGGCCGTTTTAATTCTATGTAGAGTGTAGATGAATTCAACTTGGAGCGTGGCGCATTTTGCATAGAGCATAATTCGCCACTTTAATTTTGTAGTTTTGGGAATTTATCGTTATTCAGCGTAATACGTAGCCGGCTCTCAAAATTTAGTGTAGAGCGGCCCAGTCTCGTAGCTCTTCATAGAGTAACTGTAATACCACACAACTTGAAATGTCAGTATCCACTGAGCCACACCAATACTACAAGTCAACATGACCCTCCTAAGCGCCATATGAGTATGACAATATTATGAGTTGAAGATACAGGTTTGTTTGCTTTTCAGAATTTTGAGCAGAATAAAAGGGCAAATTCAAGAGTAGAGTAGAGTAACATCTACGGCCAGGTAGGACGTCAGTCAAGTTATGGACTGTAAATGTTTCAACATGTTCTTGCACTACACGTTGTAGTTTTTAACCATGTGTACCAGAAAAAGAGGACTGACTATGATAAAAATGCCCCCCTCCCCCTTTAAAATACCAAGTGCCAACATCTACCCACCGACTCTTCCGGCTCCTCGGCGGCTTTCCGTTCCTTCGTCCTCTGCGAGGGTCTCACGGACTGGTCCTCGACGATCTGCTCGGCAAGCGACCCCGCATGTTGCTCTGTTTTGAGCCGCTTTACCTTCTTAACTTTCCCCATTTTTTGTACAGACGAATTTTCCGATCGTCGCAACGTGCTGTGTTGACCTCTGACCCAACCTCGGTCTTGTGGTTTAATCGAGTGACGCTAGGGGTCGCTTTTTGGCGAGACGTCAGGGGCGGAGGCATTTGTGTACGTACTACGATCGCTTAAAAGAATTCATTCCCTAGGGAATTGCTTTTGAGGTAGCCTTCGGCCATGTGGTCTTTGGACCGAGAAGTTAAGGTCTTTTTTAGCTAACCCTAATTTAGGATTATGTAACCCTTAATTAGGGTTAGCTAGCCCTAAATTAGGGATGCATAACCCTAATTTCGGGTTACTGGTATGTACCCTAATTTAGGGTTAGCTAACCCTAATTTTGCTACCCCGATCTTCCCCTTCCCCCACTCGTAGCCCTTCTTCCCCTTCCCCCACTCGTAGCCCTTCTTCCCCTTCCCCCACTCGTAGCCCTACCCCGATCTTCCCCTTCCCCCACTCGTATATTCCCACTTACGTCACAATGGACTGACATCTCGCGAGACTCTTGTTGAGCGAGATGTCAGGCCATGTGACCACCCCCTCATACTTCATCAGTTTTGTGAAGCCAGCCCCAGCGAAGGTAGCGTGTGGTTTAGCTCCGGTTGATCCGGCCATTTTTCTGTGATTCCAGCGGTGGCAGCATTATTCTGGTTCCATGGAGAATTCCCGCGTTCGTTACCTGGTTTAGAAGGTACTGTTGTGGTAGTGTCTTGAGGAAACAGGTTTGTCTGGTGGTATTTTGGAGCGCAGGCTAGATAAAGATTTGTCGACGTGGCAGCGCACGTGCATGCCTCGGTAGATAATATTAAGTACGTGTGCTATCCCTCTTCCTCTGGGTAACGTGTTTTCTATTTCACAGTTGCAGACTCCCGGAGGAACACTGTAGCGACCCCGAACGCGAGTACAACGCTGACCACGAGTGGAAACCAGCCCGTGGGTGCAGGCCTGCCAGCGGCCGTGTACAGCCCGGTCAGCGAGAGGGATTTCCCGCCCCGGGCGGAGCGTCTTGCCGCCCCGGGCGGAACGGGAGTGTGACCCGGCGGTAGCGCTGCAGCAAAACCCCTGCCACCAGATAGAGCGACCAGGCATCCCGAAGATAGTGACAGTTCTCTCGGGATCCAGTTCCGCGTTGTCGGCACTGGCCATTCCCGCAGGGAGTCACGGCACGGAACGCAGAGACGCCGTGGGTAGGAGTTTTGCCTCCGTCATTTTACGACCTTATTTTTGCGTGTGTCCGCCCCGGAATCACGTGTGTGTACCTCGGAGCGTTTCACACTTCTTTCAGTCTCGTATTTTTCCCCTTTTCGTGTGTTTTAAGCGTTGATGGCTCGTTTCCTCGGAAGGAAAAGTTTGTGAAATTTTGGTCATTTTTTCCGTTTGGCCCTGCGTTTGCTAGATTGTCGGATAATCAACGGATTGGCATCGGGCTGATAGTGGAACAACCTGAGGCCTATTTCGGGGAAAGACTGTGGGACAATTCTTGTTAGTTTCCTTTTGGTGTTGGCGGAGCTTCTCTGAGATTGTCGGACAGTCTCGAAGCGAGAAACTGTAGGACAGTTTCGTGTATCAGAGGTGGTAGGGACTGTCGGACAGTCTCAGAATTTGGGGCGTAAAACTGTTGGACAGTTTTATGGCATATCGCTTCCCCCTGGTTTAGAGGTTGTTGGACAATCTCGAAGCGAGAAACTGTTGGACAGTTTCGTGTACCAGAAGTGTTAGAGACTGTCGGACAGTCTCAGAATTTGGTGCGTAAAACTGTTAGACGGTTTTACGCATGGCATATCGCTTTGCTGGTGCATAGAGGTTGTTGGACAATCTCGAAGCGAGAAACTGAAGGTCAGGGTCAGTAGTGGTAGAGGCTGTCGGACAGTCTCAAAATTTATTGCGGAAAACTGTTGGACAGTTTTATGGTTTATCGCTTTCCCGGGGGATAGAGGTTGTTGGACAATCTCGAGTTAGATGGGAAACTGAATAGTTTCGCTCTCCCTATGCGTGGAGGTTTCCGACAACCTCAAGGGGGGTTGGAGATGGAGGGCAGATTTCGGTAGTCTTCTGATCGTCTTTTGGTCACTTGGCGACTACCGACAGCAGGAGGAGAGGCAGTAGAGCAGCTTTCGGTCGTCTTTCATAGCGACAACCGATAGCAGAGGGTGGCAATAGGACAGTTTTCGGTCGTCTTCCATAAAGGCTATCTATAGCAGGAAGGGGAGACGGTGGGACAGTTTTCGGTCGTCTTCCTTTAGCCATTGACCTTTTGGTTTGGCCTTGCAATTGGTCATTTTTCTTTGTTTTGTACGTCGTATGGAGATGCGTACCGTAAACGCATAGGAAGGCGCTTTGAGTAGTACAATTTTTCGGTTGTATGTATTTGAGATAGCTACCTAGTTTTGGCATTTTATGGCTGGCTAAGCCCTAACTCGTGGACCGTGCGTGCTTTCCCCAATAGGTTTGCCGCCACCATATAGCTTCGGCTCGTGGCCCGGGAAGCGAGCGAGGGCCCCTCCAGACCTAAATTTACTTAAGGTAGCCGACATATTTGAGTAAACGGAAGGGTTACCGTTTTAGATTAGAGAAACCGAAGGAGATGTACCCCTACCCGAGAGTTTGGGGTACACTTGAGGATGAGATAAGATTGAAGTGCTTTAGAAACATGTGTGTATGCATGATACCAGCATCACGTATACCGTCATCATCCCAGTTTTGGAAAGCAGGCGCAAGTAGCCCTTGATCCACTGAGGCTCTGGGAAGAGAAGGTGTCGGCTATCCAGTGGGTAAATGGGTCTGGAACGGGCCCCGCTCCTTTACGGACCACGGCCAGTAGTACAAGAACTGCTGGCAAGCTTGTTGCGAGTGAGGGCTCAGTGACTACAGTTCGGGGACTCAGTATTTGTGCCCCAGGCGGGCGAGTTCCACAGACTTTAAATCGGGATTGAATAAAAGAAAAGAAGACTACCCTCTCATGGTGTGTCTTGGCCTACTGAGTGTCTTTGCCTTACGTGACACTTAGAGTAAGGAATGGGAGAGGAGAGGGTAAGGAATGGGAAGGATAAGGATTGGGGGATATTAAATGAGGAAGAGGTTTGAGAGTGAGCCTATGACAGGGGTTAAGGCAACCGATCACTGTAGCGTAGCCGAGGTCTTTTCCACCCAATCCTTAATCGATCACCTTGGCGAGAGTGGAAATATATAATTATTCCCACTTACGTCACAATGGACTGACATCTCGCGAGACTCTTGTTGAGCGAGATGTCAGGCCATGTGACCACCCCCTCATACTTCATCAGTTTTGTGAAGCTGGGTGACAGAGAGAAGGTAGCGGGGTTAGCGTACAACCCGTCTCGTGAGTAGCCTGGTAATTAGAGCGACGTGAACTCGGCGCGGCGAGTACCGGGCGTCAGGGTAGATGATGTAGACACACTGATGGTTTCTTTAAGGGTAGGCGGGGAAATTCAAGTTCTTGACCGGCAGCGTCATGGGAGGCCCACGCCTGGCAAATGGCCATCGATGCCGCAAGCACTGGCGGGTGAAACGTTACGTCGGGAGGTACGAGTATGAGCCGCCAGGTCGAGGTAATAAGTAATAGAGGGGTGGACGAGGAAGAGGAAAAAGAGCAACAGCTAGAGATAGGTCCTCGGGTATAGGTCGCGTATGTTTAGTCAAGGCCAGTATTAAAGGCTGGGGTAGGGAATAACCCCAAGTCGACCATAATGCTCAGTACCCAGACTGTCTTTAGGGTAGAGGACGCAAGAAAGGAGAAGGCTGGACGGAAATGAGCGGGACGAAAATAAATCCCCCCCCCGCCCACCCCACACTCACGGTGAGAGTCGCATGTATGACAGGGAGCAGACACTCGACACTAGCTCGCCGAGGTCTTTTCCACCCAATCCTTAATCGATCACCTTGGCGAGAGTGGAAATATATAATGCATTACCCCAACGTTTGCAGACCTTTTTACGTCACAGGTGAATGTACCCTGTCATGTGATCGGTGTTACCTGTGGCTCATTTGCATACTCGAAAGGTTGACCCCGTGTATATCTCTTCCCCTGTCTCGTGCGATCGTACGATCGGTTGACAGCAAACTACCGACAGTTTTTGGGACAATCGTGCAAAATCCAGCTTTCGTCGTGTTTCCGTGTAAAACTACAAGGCTTGTCGGCAGTTGATTCTACCACAATCTGGTTTAAGATCTTACGTATACGGCGTCAGAGGTGACTGTGGTTTACATATGGCCAGCTGACACCATGTGTAAGGTGTAACAACCGGCATCTTTTGTATTACGGAAGTCTGAATCAGAACATTGCTAGCCCGTTCCTGGATATAGAGAACTATGGCCACGTCTCTGGGAAAATACCGAGGTTGGATCGCGGTACTGGGCGGAGTTTTAGTCCACCTCACCCTCGGTACTATCTACACATTCGGTACGTATTTATAGCTCCATATCTCGTCTAATCTTGTTTAATCAATGGAGTCTGACTGTCATATATACATGTGTAGTCATTCGTTTACGTACAGTCGCTCTCAGAATAAAAGTGATTTGAGTGTATAGTAAACCCATACCCATACCTTGTACAGTTTAGCACTGTCAATAGATCACGAGTATAGAATTGTGGATTATAAAAGAGAAGAAAACAGCACGACAAGCTATACATTCAAATGTTTGGTGCTTGTAATCTCAAATCAAAATATGTCATAAAAGTTTTTAAAAATATTATATTGGGAATAGATATGAATGGGACTTTCTAACCTTAGCCCTTTCCATCAACAGTGAAAAGAGTGGCAAATTGCAAAAGAGTGTACTAATACTACAACCCCCCACAACCCCTACATTTTACTAGTTCCGCTGCTGCTGCTACTACTACTACTACTAGTTACATTACAACTAGTGCTAGCAGTCAAAATCATCACATTTTATTACCGGTTCACAGGGAACATGAACCCGTATTTGACATCGTACATTCGGCTGAGATCCTCACCTCCAGACCTAACGTACAAGGTGAGACCCTTGAACTCAGTATGTCAGCGTCTTGTGAAGAGCTCGTGACTGGGTCAAAGGTCTTGTAATGTAGGGGGAAGATATGTACTATTACCATGAGTGCCAGACTAGTATCGGGCCGTTGGCCGTTTTCCTTCGGCAGCCAAGAGCCCTTCGCCCGCCTGCCTAAATTACCGCTACGGGGGAGTTGAGCCCAGGGGGAGTTTGGCCGGCCCTAGAACGGCTAACCTCCCGATACTAGTCTGGAATCCAGGATAATGTACAATAAGTATTGGTACAGCAAGAGTACGGGGACTTTTGAAAGTTCTTCTACAACTACAACTACAACACTACAGTTTATAAGATCTAAACATTTTTGTATAATTTTACATATCGGCACACTGAAAGGATTGACAACTAGTAGAATATAATTGAATGGTTTATTTACAGAATAAAGAAAATTCAATATCATGACTTCGGAGCAAGAACGTAGAATAAATACTTTATGAAATCCAATATTTTAGCACACCTTGAAGGTTCCGTTTTTAAGTAGACTTTCGCATTACGAAATTCGGATTCTTAGTAATCTTACCCTTACCTTTAGTAAACAGATGCAATAGCTTAAGGTATGCAGAAATATCGTATTCCGTGTAGTGAATGGTTTCCATTCATCCAGGTCTCTGTGTGGGTGTTCTCCCTGCAAGGCGCCGGCCAGGGGCTGAGCATGTTTGTAGGCGGGTACATCTCCCGGCGGATCGGGCCGAGGTGGACGGCTCTGCTCGGTGGATGGTTCATGAGGTGGGCACAAACTAGAAAAGTAAAATTTGCAAAGCAAATGCATATTAAATGTTTACATTCGCATATGTTCTGCTCTGTTAATTCTTACTCAAACACATCAACATACATGTATATGGTGACAGGAATCTAAATACATCCTACTATAAAATTGCAACATTATGTAACCCAACACCAGTTACCATGGTGAGAGACAGTCTGGTTAAGTCAGGTCAGAGGTCACTGTTTGGAGAAGAAGAAGAGGAAAGTAGAAAAACGATATATGTTTTCCTTTGGTAAACATAAATACGGAGCTAAAGAAAAACGAATCTCCAAGCATGTGTTGATATCCAGCTCATATTTCATGCGTGTTTTTGCGCCAACTCTTGTCGTGTGTTGGGTTCTTTTCCTTAAGAGAAAAAAATGAATGGACGAGCTTACGAACAAAGCGGTGTTACATTCCTCCCTCATGTAGTGCCGGGGTTGTTCTGACGTACTTCACCGTGACTCATTCCATCTACGCCATCTTGGTGACGTATGGTCTGATGTTCGGACTTGGGATCGGCATAGCGTATGCGCCGCCCTTGGCTTGTGCTATGAAAGTAAGTACTAGTTTACGACTAGGATATAATGGGGCCCGGCCTCAGACTTTCTTCGAATTCGATACCCCTGGCCCAGTCGCCCAAGTGTTGTATCTATTCTAAGAAAAAAGTATCCCCAACTTCCAAGGTTCTATTATTCTAATATAGTATGCATACAATAAAACTAATGTAAAATAAAACTAATATGCTTTCTATTGACCGATGCCATGATGGCATTCCAGTTATCACAGAGCACCTGTATGTCTAATTCCAGTTCAGTTGATCAGCTTTAATTCCCTATACAAGAAATCAGAACACCAAAACATGGACGACGCAGATCATCTTTAAATCTGTTCACATCCATGCTCCATCCTTTCGATGTGCGCTGTATAATGCAACCCTTAGACTATCAGTTTGACGTCCGTTGTTGTACCTCCACTAGTGGATGCCTGAGCGGAAAGGTCTGGTGAACGGTCTAGTTCTGGCCGGGTTCGGCGGAGGGTCCTTCATCTTTGACCAGGTCCAGACGGCTTACCTCAATCCCAACAACCTCAGCCCACACGTGGAGGATCCCGACGATCCAAGCTCCAAGTACGTCATCTGGATTAAACACATTCCATACTAAGATCTAGACAGAAATATCACTATAACGTATGCAGAGTTTTTACACATTTAGTAAAACATATTGAAATGGCATAAATTATGTTCACGTATCTAGCATTTACAAGATTTGGCTGATAACAGCACTATGTTCATGTATAATCGTTATCCACCATTCATTCCCCCCTTGGTACAGGTATTTCGATGATGACGAGATTTTGGACAAGGTACCCACATGTTTCTTGTTGCTGGGTGGAACATACGCGGCCATTCAACTCATAGGAGCGCTCATGATTGTAGATCCCCCAGAAAAGGTGCGTAGATAATTTTGTACCTTCACTCTGGATACACCAATGCAAGAGTTTGTCAAGCTTCTTGTTTATAGACGCCACCTAGCGTCTTTATTCGAAACGTCAGACATAGCATGTTGTATAGATATTAGATAGTTTAATTACAGTTCCCTCTGTACACAGCTCCAGGCCGATCCCGAAGAAGTGGCCCCTTTAGCACAGAAACCTGAAGGTAGTCAGAATGACGACTTGGACATCCAAGAAGACTCCAGGGACGAAAGATTCGCGCCGAAAGTTGCCCAGGTCAGACCTAGGTCCCTTTCCCCCGGACAGATGCTGAAGACTCGGGAGTTCTACATGCTGTGGTTCATGTTCTTTATGAACGGAAACGCCGTGCTGTTCATATCGACGCTGTGGAAGGTACAAATCCTTTAATTTTGGTAGTGGTTTTGATTCCTCTATCGTTGTTGTTGCGAGATGTTGGTGGTGCTTAGTAACTCGTAGCTATGTCCTTGGTACTGAAAATATATACCCCCAGTAGTACAGTCAGTCACAACGCCGTGCTTTACTGTTACATATCAACGTAGTGGAAGGTACAATTCCTTTCATTTTGGTAGTAGTTTTGATTACTTTGTCGTTATCGTTGCAAGGTGTTGGGGTGCTATGTCCTTGGTACTGAAAATATAGTCTGCCACAGCGCCGTGTTTTACATATACAGTAAATGCCGTGGGAGGTGATTTGCGGTCTTCATACGCGAGGTTTAGCGAAGCCGCATTGCACAGGTATAGATTAATAGCTAGAAACAGCATCATGCTCCTAGAAAACGCAGTTGCTTCACCTCTGTTGAGGATGACTGACGAAGAATTCGATGGCGACTGTCATGGCCATGTGGTGGGGTGGCTATCTCCTTGGTACTGAAAACCTTAGTAATAAGACAGAGCGACTGAGCTCACGTTTTCAGTCAAGCGTTCTTTCCTTAAACTTCATGATCGTGCCACAAATGAAGAAGAAAAAGTTATCGGTGCTCAGTCATCATCACGTGCACATGTTTTTCCACAGGCTTTCGGCCAGACGAAGATCGAAGACGACCACTTCCTGGCCCTGGTGGGCGCGTTCTCGGCCGTACTGAACGCCGTGGGGAGACCGTTTTGGGGCTGGCTGGCAGACAGATTCTCCTTTAAAGTAAGGGATTATACAGCGCAGACTGACCTGGATGGTCAATATATATAGGGAGTCGTATGCGTTTTGGTGTAAAATGCAACTGTAATTTTGTCTCAAAAAGCAAGCTTCACACAATTCCTTTGCGCAGTTTTTAGCTAGAAGTAACGTTGTACTTTTGTAATGTCATTTGTTTTGAATGATGAGAGCATAACATAAGCTTGAGCGCCCGAGTGTTTTGTCACCACGTCTTGCCATATTAGTTGTAATAACAAAACTATAAGTTAGCGTGTATGTATGGGTGTTTGATAGTCTCAGACTAACGAATTTCTCTCCCCCCCCCCAGGTATCCCTGATGGGTCTGTGCACGTCCATGATTTTCTTCATCATGACGTTATTCGCCGTTCCTGACGAAGCTGACGCCGGGGTGGGGTCAAAGGTCATGTTCTTCATCTGGGTGTGCGGCATCTTCGGGTCCTTCTGTGGGAACTTTTCACTGTTTCCTACAGCGACGGCCAAGTGAGGACTACTTCTTTTTTTCTCTAGTATCAACAAGTATCTAGCCTGGGTGTCATTCGATATGTAACGGCAACCCCGAAAAAAAATTGCCGTTAAAAATCGGATGGCACCCAGGCTGCAAGCTCAAGTATACATGTAATTTAACTAAAAACATTGTAAATCAGAGTATTTAAAAAATGTATAACTTATATATAATTAGTGATAAAGGACTATCGATGCTTACCTTCACCAGATTGGCACTCGTTTTCTAACAGCCTTCCCTGAAATAGGTACAATCAGCCGAAATTCTATAATAGTCTTACGATGGCCTCTCTTCGCTCTACAGAACGTTTGGTCCAGACTATGTTGCAGTTAATTATGGACTGGTCTTCACTTCTGGTGTAAGTTTACTCTCTCTCCTACATACTAGTATAACGTTATATTGCATTCCGCCTTAGTTTGTTAAAAAAAAAAGTATAAACCTAATTGAGATCATCGAAGCAATCCAGTCGTCATGCTGCCCTGATGAAGATGACAGGCGGTATGTGGTTGTGAAGAAAGAACTATGCTGCATTCTAAAATCATCTATGTTAGATTCTGACGTCTTTTTCTCTGTTACTTTTGCACCACAGTTGGTCTCGTCTATCACTGGCGGAATCATCACGTCGGCTCTCATGTCCGCTCTGGGCTGGTTCGGCATGTTCAGTCTCGTATCGAGCATGACGGCTGTCAGTAAGTATACATATCTTCTTTCATGATAACATAAATGTACTAGTAGTATGATGTTAATACTTGACATAAATCTGTTCAAGCGCAAAGCGGCATGCATAGAATTGAATTGTCATTGGTCTTGTCAAATTTATTCATGACACTGACAAGGCGTTTCTCTTCTTTTTATGTGTTTACAGGTGGGATAATTGCATTTCTCTTCAATGCAAAGAACGCCGAAGGAAGGGACGTCTAACATGACGCTTTCATACCTTCGATTTGTAAGAAACAAATGCCATGTGCCTAGTACATTGCCATGTACTACAAGTCTAGTTTCCAGTCCTGATCTAGCTATTGTTTGATTAGAGGAGAGAACCAGAGCTGGAACAACTGTTCTTAATTTTGAAACTTCTTAAGTGTTCTTTTAAGTTAAAACTTTGAAATTTTAACGATATGGTAACAAAAGATTTATTAATTATATATAATCTTGAGCATTTTATAGCCCTGGTGGCTATAGTACCGCTGTGTATACATACGTAAAGAACTAGGTTTACCGATGTGATTAAATTTTTTGATTTCACACAACAGGCTTGTTTTTGTTTGTATCTTTCAGTAATTTCAGTTAACTATCACAATAGATTTTAGAGATTCTTTATTGAGAAGAAAACCACATTGACGCTCACGATGCACGTACTCGTACATGGATTTTCATATAGCTACGAAATAAAAGACACAAAAATGAATACAACGAACGTTACCTTGAAAAACAAACAATTTTCTCCTTGCATGGTTCATACTCTAAATTTACGCTAAACACAATCGTGACCCTATGAAACATCGCCATATATCCTGGTGCAGAATAACTAGCGACATTTTTCTGCAATAATATCAAGGTTGCTAGAGGTCGCTTTTAATCCGTGCTGAATTTATGAGGGTTTTTGAGTTAGGAATAAATCGCATGATTTATCCAAGGAGGTTGAAACTCCCTTGGTTCATCAATGCATCCGTGTAGTTGTACAAGGGTAAAATGTAAAAAAAAAAAAACATGTTTTAGGTTTTGTTTAATGTCTGTTTACGTTTGCCTTTAATACTTAACTCAAAACCAAAAAAATGGCCTTTAATCTCAAAGTATGTGTTTGAGAAAGGAGGTTACAAAAACCAAGGAGGGCAAAGCGTCGTCTTGCTTATGATAACTGTTATGTCTTGCAGGCGGCATCAAATTTTATTTTTCTGCAGACGGGTCACTTGTATGACGTCAAAGGTTGCCCTCTGTGTTTGTGGTTTCTGTCTGACAACAAACTCACTGTAAAACTTCCGCTTGAAAGGCGTAAACAAAATATGTGTATATAAAATTAGCACTCAAATTCGCACATTTGATTTACTTGCAACATTACGTTCACTTGGTTGCAATCGCTTTAGCTTTTTATGCCATTGTGTAAGTGGTACTCGTATGTGACGAAAAGGAAAGGACCACTTTGTATCATACTGCTAATGAACAGAGGCGAAAGTCAAGCGCCGACATTGCAGAGACGTTGCTTTTGTTTTTCTACCATATCCAGTTTCACCCCCTGTCGTCGCTCGCGGTCATTATCTCCAGCCTCTTAGCAATTTAGCAATGGTAATCAGGTGAGGGTCCTTTGTCTGGCGTCAAAAGCGTGCGCGCGGTGGGTCTTGTCTGATCGCCAGGTTGTTGTTGACTCAAGCCGAGCTGGGGGTTGGTCTGCAGGCGAGGAGGCGGAGCTAAACGCTCAACAACACGAATTTTTAAACCCGCCTCTTTCACTGGGTGAAGAGAGGAAAGTCCTCTGGCTGTGTTTTCGTGCTGTTGCCCGGGGAAGGAGAAAAGTGATACCCTGTGGTTACAAGAAGGTCTCAGAGGACTTGGGACAACCGGTTGGACTAGGCTGGGTTTGGTGAAGTCTGCTTTACTGAATGACAAATGACGCAGGTTCGTGGGGGTGACCCGTCGCAAATTACCGGGCCGTATTGAATGAAAGAGCCGGAGTTTTCTTTGCGCTGTGAGCTGATATAAGGTAGAGTGAAGTGGGCACGTGTTTTGGGCCATGTGGAGGAATGTGTGAGCTTGTGTAGCTCAGAAGAACGTGATCGCTGCCGCCTGGATAGATCAATCCAAAATCCCGTGGATTTGTTTGGGGGAAGGAAGTACAACTGCCTTTTGCAAACACCGATCGCTTCCGTGGAACGACTCAGCGGATGTATATATAGATAGCGAGCGCGTGCTGACTCATTAGCCAGCGGGATTCGAACCCGTGCACGTCGGTAACGTTGCCTGGCTGTCATTTCGAAGCGGAAGTTGGATCCCTGCCCGTCTGTCCACGTTGGGTTTGACCTTGTGAGCTCAGCGAGCCGGATCGGGGGAGTCCTGTACCGTCGGTGTTTGAAGTACGGCGCGGAATTTATCGACAAGACTAGAGAGCCGGCGTCGGGTATCTGGGGAAATTTTCGGGAGTAGTTTTCACGTTTTAGTGCACCGTCCGCGGAACTGAGATTCAACTATGGGCGCTGCGAGCTTATCAAACTGCGGGATTGTGTGGTCCTTCTTGTCGCTGTGCTCCACGGGACTGTGCTGTGCCGGGTTCTACTTGCCCTACTGGCTGGAGGGCAACACGCTGGGCAAGCCAGCGTACTTCGGGACCTTTCGGCGGTGCAACTACCCGGCCCCGGGCAAGGAGGGCGACCCGTACGTGGTGGAGGAGTGCGGGCGGTACGCCACGTTCTACGATATCCCGAGCATGTCCTGGCAGATCTGTACCGTCCTGGTCGGGATCGGCTGCGGGTTCATGATCCTGATCTCCTTCACCGCGCTCTTGGCGTGCTGTGTGGACGAACTCATCACCAGTAGGATCGCCAGAGCCGCCGGCTGGTTCCAAGTTTTCGCCGGTAAGTGACTTCTCAAGTTCAGCTAGCCTAGCGACGTGGAAAAATTATCGACCCAAAGTCATATCATTTGTCGAACTGTATGTAGCTGTATGGTGCTATACCTAACACACAGAAGGAAATCCTGTTTTTCTGTGTTTTGTTTATTTTTCTCCGAATACACATCGCTCTTGAAATGTATATTATACATGCTGTTTACATAAATATTATGCTAATCTGCCCCTGACCCAGTCCCACGCCCATCCTTCCGTACCATGTGTGTGGGTTTCACGCACATCTGCTTTGAATATCACAGGAATTCCACTAACCTACATTTGCAGGAACAACACAACACCAGTGATTGCCGCATAAATCAAGCAGCACTTCACTCCCTCCGTCTCATTTCATTCTCTCGCTAAGGTTGTAAATTATGATATCAGGGGGAACAAGTTTTGCTAGCTGTCCAAACCACTTCCAGACAGTTCCCAGTCTTCACTATGAATTTTTCAAGACACATATCACTCAGTTAAGTCTCCACCAGACTGCTTGGGTTACTGTGAAAATATACAGCTAGTAGAAATTGACCAAATAGGCAAGTTTGCCTGGGGAGTTAGCTGGTCAATTGGAAGAAGTACATACATGTAGGCCACCCTGGGTTGGCCAATTTTACCCTTTGTAGCAACCCAAGGAGTCTGGCAGAGGCTAATCTCCAAGCAGACTTTTGAGGCGAAATTGTGACAGTTTTTGAATGGCCCAAGATTTGAGCACACTTCCCCTGTCAGAAACCATCATAATTTTGCCGCCAAAGATCTGCTTGGAAATAAATACCACAGGCACTGCATCACTGACATTGGCAGCAACAACATTTAAAAAGTGTTTTGGGAAAACAAAGTAATGGGTATACATGAATGAGTTCACTGTGCATTATTTACCTTTATTTTCTTTTTTACATGTTTTGCTTGAAGTTTTCTGTTGTTGTTTTGCCCGGGGTTGCCCCGTGTGTTTATTTCTCCAAAGTCCCTACAACACCTGAGCTTTCGCCCCTCTCGGCTGTCAGAGTTTTGTATGGCCACAGGGCAGGACGGGAGAAAACAGGGGTGACTGCTTGTGTTTCTAGACTAAATAGTTGCAGCATTGTCATGCGTTGTTTATGTCAACACAGTCCCATGAAAGGAGGGTTTGGGAAAGCTGTACACATGAGCCTCTACCCATATACAGGATGACCAGAAATGCTAAGAAAACACTGCCACACACATGGAGAACTAGGGGTGAGGGGTTCGATTCCCACTTCATCACTTGTGGGTTTAGGAGGAAATGAAAGATGAGCCTCAGTGTTTATCAGTTGCAAGGAATGCCTTGGATGTTAAACATGCCTTGAACCACACACTCGCTGAGAGTGAGAAGAGTGAGTGACCCAGTCCAGGCTCATGCCACGACCTGTCCTGGTCACTGGATGACCAAAGTGACCAACATTTTCTACATGCCAACTGCCCAGGAGTTTTTCTCTAGGGTGGGGCATAGCTAACATCCCACTGTGTCTAACCTGCTGTTTGTCAGCATGGTATTCCCACAAGCCTATTATTTCCCAATCTGAAGAATATTTGAGCTGGCTAAACAGACCCCCCAGAGCCATTCAATATTCCATCTCTTTGTAGAATTCCTGGGTAAATAATAGGTTTTCCAGGACCACTTGGGGAATAATCACCATGCCTTCCCATCAGTTTCTCTTTGAACCCTTCCTGCATTTTTTTTGTGAACCAAATCAAAAGGGACTGCCCGTATAGTACATCGGTTTTACTGAATTGTTATTCATGTGGTTGTCAATGACAACAGGGAAAAGCCTCTGTTACAATCTAAAAGCCATTAGAAAACTGCTTAGATGGCAGAAAATGTCTGTTAGGGTCTATAAGTTATAACAGACAGGCTGAACAGGGAAGAAGTTAAGTATTTGTAGTTGTCACTTGTATGTTGTAAATCAGTTGCAGACTTGGCAAGTAAGTGTTAGGAAAATTATCACATCAAAAAAGGATCCCGTTTGATTTGCGATTGGAATGTTTGCAGTGTCCATACAGCACCAAGTTGTGTAGTCTGCACTTCTCTGTTGGTCATTCTAGTGTACATTTCAGCCAGGGAGGCGTGAAAATAGATGCAATTCAGGGTATGAAAAGAAAATTAATGACAAAGGCTGTTCATAACAATGGTAGTAAATATTCCTTCCAAGCTTTTATGACTTCATTTGCTCGAGTTGACTACAGAAATTCTTATCGCTGAAATTGTGTTGCGTAGTTTCCATGTCCTTGACTGCAGGACAGATATATTTGTCCACCAAATACTTCCAACTCAATGTCAAATCTTGGTGCAGCAACACATCAGAGAAGCAATGGAATGAAGAAAAACAAGTTTTTTTTTTCTATTTCAATTGAATGTTCAATATAAAGAATGCCAGCAGTAGTAGTACTGTAGTACGGTACTGAGGACAGTTTCTTGTATATAGCCCCTGCTGCATCGCCATGTAGTTATGTAATAGGCCAGGATGTAAGAACATGAATACTACTGCTAGTACAGGTACATTCAGTTTATACTCTGCTAGCTGTTCATTTACAGTGGGCGGAATGCTTTCAAAAAGCTCATTTTGGCATGTAATGGGACAGGATTTCAACCCCACTGCCTCCAGCCTGCCTAGTCACCCATGATATTGTACTGATAAAGGTCACCTCCAAATTAAGCTCCAAGCAGATGTATCACCGGGCTTGTTTTTTTAGTGGAGCTTTGGTGGCCTTTCTCAATTTCTGTACACAAAAATGCAGACCTCAAAAGAGAGATGAAAAACATTGGCACATTGGCTTAGTAGGTGAACGGAAAGAAATACAGACCGCATAGAAGGCAAAGATTTAGAAATGCAGAAAAAGCCTCAAAGGGCCCTCACTCACTCAAAAGGCCCACAAATTGACACAACAAGCCTTACTGATACATCTGGAGATTGGAGATTAGATCCAAATAACTCTCATACCTCAAATACTGTCAATGATTTCAGCCTAACCTATCTTGCAGCGGAATCATTGATTGTTTACAACTTTTTGAGTGATGAGCCAGTTCAGGAAAAAGTCAACATTTACACAAGGCAGACCATTTAAGGTGTCATGCCACAGGCGGTGTCCTGTTACACCTACCAGGGCCTGGAGGTGTCATGTCACGCCCAGGTAAATATATACCTTACCTGTCATACACTGCAACAACTTCCCAAAATGACAAGATAGGTTTGTTTACAAAGAATCCCTTGAGGCATCTTGTATGTTTCTTGTGAGAGATCTTTCCCATGACAAGGAGGCTAGGCTTAATCCTACAACTTAGTTGATGGTCCAGAAAGAACAAATACTTTTAGTACTTTTAAAACTTTTGCTGTTATATGACCGTGCAGTTCAGTACCTCAAGGTGTCTATTAGTTTAAACCCTCACATTATGATAAGCTATAAGATGGCATTTTTACTGTTTTGGAAGCTTTTTTTATATAGAGCTAGCCTGGATTCCAGACCCAAAGCACACTGGACACAAAATATCTCAGTGTGCAAGGCCTTGCACACTGAGATATTTTGTGTCCAGTGTGCTGGACAGAGCTAACATAGTTGTACCTTCTTGGTAGGCTTTGAGTCAGGCTTTTAAACTCGAAAGGCTTATATATATGTATATAATGTGCTTCTTTTCTGGTGGCATTTGAGTTCTTGGTACTCGGTTTCTTTTTCCCGCCACCACTGCGAAAAAAGAACATTGTAAGCCCCTCAAAAGCCTGTCTCTTTGGGCCTGCTATGGCGGCTTCTAACCATAGTCACTGGCTTTTCAAGTATCTGTGGTATGTTAAGGCAATTACTGGGAAAAACGCATTGCCACGTTGCAAGCCGCAGCTACAGTAACAGTACTGTGTCCAACAGACTCTACACTTACTTGGATTAATGGTTCTTCTGGACTAACCTAATGACGCCACTGACAAATAGACATGGTCTCTTCCAACATATATATAGCTCACACGAAAATCCCCTACTGGGATCAAAGAAGACATAGCCAGTTGGAGTTCACTAAAATTACAAGTCCGCCAGATCTTTGAAGAACACTCCACAGCGACATGCCTCTCAATCTTCCTACAAGCCCCCTTTGAAGCCTGGCGGCTAAATGATTACTTCTACAGACTTCCACTGCCCTATTACTGCCACCGATGCAGCTATGGAAAGATTTCTGTTCCATGTAATGGGAGAGCTCCATTTATTTCTTAACAAAATTACCGAGCTACAACAGTCTGTTATTCCTTCTCGTCTTGCCATATTAGGTAGACATGACTTCGCTGTGCAGTAGATGTGATTTTCCTTTTATGGAAATCCTCTGCACTGTAGTAGCTGAGTTGGAATTCCCAATGATCTAATGAAACAACTGGCTTACCTTATATTAGGCTTATGTAACCTTTCGGAAAAAAAATGTGAACAGTTGCTGGTCTCTTTCAATGGGAGCTAGCATACTGTTTAAATGAGATGTGAACAACTTTGAACGACATAATGGATAGACTGTTTTTATTAATTACAGGGCAATTTAGTGTCCATATCGGCAAGTCCATACAAATTATAAGAGGAAAAGGAACAATCAGTACTTAAATGGATACAGAATGTAGGCATAAACCCCTTCTTCTAGGTTCTATAGCTACACATACATGTATGTCATAATAACCCTCTACAAAAGGTAGTTACAATGGTGAGTGATATGCCCTGCCCAACTAAGGTGTCCTCTGGCATCATGACCATAAGAGAAGGTCAATTGGCCCCATCTTAGTTGATCCTTTGCTTTTCGTAGTTAATCCCGGGCCATTCCTTATCGCAAACAACAAGCACAATACAGGCCAATCCCACCATTGGTCAGTGCCATGAAGGGTGAAATGTGCCGGGAAGCGTTATCGGTATCAGTGTTTTCATCTTGATCAAGGAGGTTCAAGGGCATTTGTGTGTTATTCTACTGTAGGCAGGAATGATAAGCCAGAATGCTAG